AGTTATGTTTTTGTCTGCATTGTTCCGGTTTTCAGGCGAATGAAGGAACCCGATAGCCTCCAATATCTGCCCTATCATCGGCATATTTCTGGTTGTAGATCATCTTCCTTCGGGAATGCAGCTAGTTGCCGGGTGTTCTGCCAATCGGCGCACTGAGCGCGGGCGTGGTAAACACATGCCCCGCGCGCTTCTGGGAAACATGTCATCAGAGGGAAGCCTTGTCATCAAACGAAGGCGTTGTTTCTTAACTACTCCGTCACCCTCCTCCCCTACCTCGAACACACGCCTCCTTGGGTTTTCCGGCTCGTGACATGAGCAGAATGGAGGAACTAATGGCCCATAGGAAGAACCATCCAGAGGTATGAGAACGCGTTAAGTACATCGACAACAGCAGCTTCAGCGAATACTGTATCGGATTCCACTTGAACCTTGTAGCGTAAGGCAACAAATGTTCTCGCGTTTTTTCGTACCCTCGTCGCGATCCTATTCCTACAAGTCGTGGATTCTGCCTCTGCTTCGCAGCAACAGCTGTTCGATGGATGTTTTCCAGACGCCATCGGGATCTCGGGACGAGCAATCTGAATAAGTGCTCTCGATTTATCGCGGTTGAGATACTGCTTGACGTAGTGGTGGCCAGACTGGCTCTTCCGTGACGACAAAGTGTGACGAAGGCGGTACCGCTGTGAATGTCTCCACTGTTGGCCTCTCCTCCCGTAGTGGTCGGAGCCTCGCGAGGCCATTGCGTTCCGCCCGTAACAACCTTCGACTTTCCTAATCCCGCTCCAAACACAGCCTAGCGCCTGCAGTGATGCTGCGGAAAACCGAGTGCGCCCAACCCCCCCCCCTGGATCACCCACTACGGCCTCCCGCGTGACAGCAAACGCCTGCGAGACTCCACAGGCCGGTGGTAGCGACGGCGATAAAGCAACAGACTCAGAAGCTGAAGAGGATGCTTCCGCACCAGCAGGCGGACTGTCAAGGCACTTTGCAGCCGCAGCAAAGACAGAAGAAACAGAGAACGGCCCCACCGCCGCCTGCTCCCATCCCGCAGGCCATGCCGCCAGCAGCGTCCAGGCCTCGCCCACCGTCACGGCAGGGGTCGGCCCCCCCTCCAGCCCTGCTGGTGGTCCAACGCTACTCGGACTTCGGCAACGGTTAGAGCGACGGGAGCTTTAGGTGCTTGGATCACGACCGACGAGGGGAGCCGGGTTGGAGAAACGGGCGTTGATGCTTCAGCAACTACTGTACTCAGACAATTCGCTGCCGCTCCTAGCTTGACTGCGGTGGTTTGTGGGTTGCTTGGACATCCACGGTGACTAGCGAGCTATGCGCAAGGAACCTACCGTCGCCGGCTGCGCAAGCCGTGATTGATCGGGGTGTAGACTTTTTTTGTCAGTCCTTTCTACTGCATGGACTCTCTCGGAATAGATCGCCTTGGAAATTGAAGCAGGCGATGGCTCGGGGACCAGGCTGTGGTAGAGGATGCGAGTCCAAAAGCGGCTGCTGTATCTATAAATATCGGTGGATGGTGATTTTTTTTTTTTGCATGAAGGGAGGATAGTGGTGCGTTCGGTGACTTGGCGGTACCATGTAGTGGGAATTGGCATCAACGCCATGGGTGTCTCATAAAAGAAGGAACCATCGCAGAGTCTGACGTGGAATAAGCAGACATGGAATAAGCAGACATGGAATAAGCGAGGGGAGGTTGTATTTTTCCTGTATCGTATTTTTTCAGAAAGCGGTTTGCTGTGCCCTCTTCATGCACACAACAAGCGAGTGGTTGGTCATGGAGACTGGAGTGGAGTGGGGCACAAAAGATTTTGAGTGTAAATACTTAGCTCGCGCAACCTTTGAGTTTTATCTTCCACTACTATCGTGGAATTTTCGCCCGAATGACAACGACAGGCAAGAGCGCACCTCGAAGATAGATTGGGTTTCGACACGCTTGGATAGCGTTTTTTTGTCGACACGTCGGCCGGAGCATTTTGGCTTGGGAGTACACAGGAATGGTGTGCTTTACACTTCAATCATCTGCACCGCGTGTGTGACGTGTTCGTTGGACGGGAACAGTGAGAACGAGAGGAATACAAGCAGCATGTGCATGGAAAAAATGCAGCTAGTGTGACGATAGTTCATCTCCGGTAGCAACGTACACCGACAATGATTGTTGGCTTCCGGAACGGTGGGGTCACACACTGCAATGTAGGTGTCACATCTCACGTGGGCTTGCGTGCGGACCTGCGTGCGAGGATGCTGCGGACTGTTTGTCGAAGGACAATATATGGTTGGTGATTGGTTCGTTCACAGCTTGTGGAATACCATACCACACGGCACGCGACGGCACGCACGTTTGGGGAGGCGTTTGCTCGGTCCTTCGATCATGCCGACGAGACTACAGATAATCGAACTTAATCGTACCCGAGACACATGCGTTGTCTGCGTGTTGCTCCATACGTGTGCTTTGTGTACTTGTCTCTCTTGTGGTCGGGTAAGATGATCGGCGCGGCGTGTACATTCTAATGTCGCGATGGGCACTTGCTGACCAATCTGCCATAGATTGTTCTGGGGGTTCATTCGCACAGTTTCTCGTTATGGATCGCTGTCTGTAATTGTAGACGCAGCTTGTTCCGTAGTCAGTCGCGAACACAGTCACCGCGCGCATTGAGCGTGTCAAGCTTGGTTGCATGACGAACAACACGGGCACCGGAGGAACCGTATCACAAGTTGACGGCTGTTGTTTGAGGGAGCAAAACCCCGGCAGAATACAAAGAGGAGGAGGGGGGAGGGGAGGTTACGAACCGGGGAGACGCAGACCGGGAGGGGAGAGAGCAGCTCTGGGACGAGGGAGGTGGGTGGGGGCAACAAGTAGGGTTGGCGCTTGTTCTAGAGAGATTCGTGTTCACAAGCTCTGCTCGTCAAAGACGTGTGGCATAGACCCAAAGGCTTGACAATCGTCAATATCTCCTCGCGAGGTAGCAGCGTTGAGCGTACGGCGAAGGCGCACCTAAATACCATGCCACATTTGGGCTTTAGCTTTCACGCGGCACTCGCGTGGGAGTATTTGTAGGAAACACGTAGAAGTCTCCGCAATCTTCTTCGTGTGGCACGTGCCTGCTGCGTACGGGTTGATATGTTGGGCAAGTGTGAAGAGAATGGAACCATACAGGCATATGAAAAGAATCCTGGACAACCGGTTGGACCATGAAACGCCCTCGTGTGTGCTCTCTTTGTGAGTAAGGGACACCACGAGAGGAGAAACGACAATCACCACCTCATTCCCCGTGAATACACTCTACGCACTAGGTGCTTTTCGCGTGTCGTGCTCTTCAGAAAGTAGAAAACCTACGTGTGTCTCATGTCGCGCCCATAAATTAACCGAGGACAGTAGGCGAGCGAGCAGAGGAGTGAGTTCCATGGTTGGATCATTTTCGATATATTTTTTCTCCCCATGCAAACCATGTCATACGCAACTGTCATCCGTACGCAAGGAAGTAAGCACAAGATGCCGAACACCCTTAGCAGGATGCAGCGCACCCTTCATGCGACTCGCCGAATATCTCACGGCGCTTCGCGCTTGGTGATGTGAGAGCCTGGTCCGGTGAGAACCCGGCGTGCTCCGTCCCGGCTTTGTAGGGATGCGAGGTCAATGGTCTAACGACTACGGCATGCACGACTATCAGTCCCCCCCCCCCCCCCCCCCCATGCAAACCATGAATGGTGGTCGAGTAGGTTATGTTGTGAGGGGTCGAGAACCCTCACTCCGCGCAAAGGGGATAATCGCACTTTGTGTTAAATTGGTCAAGCACCCTCGAGGCAGTTGCACAGCGCTCATAACTGTCTCTGAAAGTGAAAGCACCAGAAAAAAATTGAAGTCACACGCAGCTGTCATCCGTACGCAAGGAAGCAAGCACAAGATGCCGAACATCCTTCGCAGAATGCAGCGCACTGCGAAGGTGTACCGATCCAGGTAAAAGTCAATCGACAGATACCCTGCGAATCGGGTCCTCCTTAACACTCTCCACCCACAGAATCTACCCTCAACTGGGAACCTCTTGTGGTCAGGACTGATACACATTGAGTCCATGGCAAAATGTCCAAGTCAGGAGAAAAAGTGTTCACCCACAGAGATTCGAATCAGTATCCAGCTGACGCCACATACATGTGGAGGTGCACCGATTCAGGTAAAAGTCAATCGACGGATACCCTGCGAATCGGGTCCTCCTTAACAGCACCCTTCATGCGACTCGCCGAATATCTCACGGCGCTTCGCGCTTGGTGATGTGAGAGCCTGGTCCGGTGAGAACCCGGCGTGCTCCGTCCCGGCTTTGTAGGGATGCGAGGTCAATGGTCTAACGACTACGGCATGCACGACTATGAGTACACCCCCCCCTCCCCCAGGCATGTCTTCTAGGCTATTATATGCCGTGAGGGGTGCTCATATCGTACGATTTCGTTCTCCAAGACCGATGGTCATCTCCTATTTGAATAGCGACTCGCTTTATCGTTCCAACTGCCAATAAGTGCGGTCTTTCTTCTCCGATGAATACTATGGCAACCTTCATTTCCCCTACTCACCCAGACCAGAGGCGCAGGCCTACCCGATTCCAGCTTCTGGGTTCCCTTCGTGACCGTGTACCATGCGAATTGCTGCAGCCTTTCCGCCAATGGGTTTGTCCGACCATACAACCACGTGTTAGAGGGGTCTAGGCCGCAAAATCACCCTATTTTCCGTTTGTCGTCGAAATACGTTTGTCCAAAGAGCAGAGTCAGTTCTTTCTTGGCGGGCTTTCCTTCTTGCAAAAGTGCCAATGAACGGTGGAACCTTGCCCCGACACAGGAGATGTACTCGAAATTTTGTCCTACCAGCGGAATTGTTTCGTGTGATGTGACGTTTCTTCCGGCACCAGTGACAGGAGTGCAGCGTTCGCGTGGGCGGCCATTTCCCCCCCGATGCAGACGCCAAGTAGACGCTTGGTTTACGAAGTTACCCTAGCGCCGGAATTAACCACCAAACAACCGTTTAAGAGTGCGCGGGGCCTAAGGAAAGTCACCCTGCTTGCTATAACCGCCAAATACCAACGATACAATATTCCACAGGTCGGAACTGTAGGGTCACAGACACGTACCGGCGGTAATTCCGTCTGTAATTAGTCTACCCTACAGAAAGACGTTCTGTGACGCCCCTCGTACCCTACAGAGATTTCACAGAAGTTCTGTGACACCCTTGTACCCTACGGAGATTTAGCATACCCTACAGTTCCGACCTGTGCAATAAGGCGGGTTAGCTGAAGCCTAGTTGCGACATGAAAACACATGGTGATATCCCCACGTGTTGCAGTCTCCAGCAAGCGAAATATTGTCGGTTGCCAAAAGTCTCCAGTGTCGGCACCACATAATTTCCCGTCAACGGACACCGCCTGACCTTCGGATGAGCGGCATGATCTGGCGGTTGGTGGAGGAAGAGAAGCAAAACGTTCGCATTGTTTTTGAACTTGATAAAACACTGGTGGGTTGAGCGAAGACTCATTCGCATCGTCCACGGTAAGATTTAAGCACGGGAGAAGATGCTTGCGCGTGCTTTGGAAGCACAGTAGTCGTGATACGGCATACCCGTTTATCGGATTTACCCCAAACCCTCGACGGAGTACCCCAGATCGAAACAAAAAACCCATGGTATATTAAAATCCAAATTCGAGCAAAGCACAATACTCCAGCGCGGTATGATTCATTGATAAGTAGGAAAACCCTCGGAGTCCGAGGATACCAGGTGTGCAGCATTTACTCCACCTTCTCCAGGACCCTATCCGCGTCTAGACCCGAGCTGAACTGTATCACGACGAAGTGGGAAGGGTCGTTGTGAGAATAGTCCTTGGTGTAGTGGCACAGAGGGTGGTCGATCTTGAAACGCAGCTCGCGTCGTCGGTGGTCAAGCACAGCGCTCCGCATGTCGCGGAAGAACATCTCCATGGTGATCTGCCCGTCATTTTCACACCAATGTTTTAGAGGATGGGTTGTGGTACCGCACATACATAAAACTATTATGGCGTGATCGGTTGAAATCGCATGTCTTTCGTCACATTCACCTGGTGTGGCGACACTGCACAGCACAAGATGTTGTTTGGCTCACGATGTCGTTCTAACCAAGCAAAGGGGTAGTGTTTACAAGCGGGACAACTGCAGAATTTGCATCTGCTAACGACCGTACCTACGAGCCGACGTCAGAGGAAAAAAAACTCATGGCCGTTTTAACACCGTGTCCCCAATGATTCGCTGATGGGTTAGTCACGTGGCATTAGAAGCATTTAAAAGAGTGAAAAGACAATATTCAATATGTAATTGAAGTTGTGGACCGGACACCGCCTTACCCTTGTTGCTTCAAAAGGGTGATGAAACGTGTAGAGGCACTTGTGATTGAAGAAGGCCACTGGCGACGGGTATTTACTGCAGTGGCCAGGAGAGTGAAACACGATGATAGGATGGACAACACGCGAACATGTAACCGCTATTCTCTCGGAAGTATTACGGACGGGGGGAGGATATTTCACACGAATCAACAAGGTCAAGTTGATCGAAAAGTTCATGCTCCATGAGAGGCGTCAGTGCTGTTCCGTGTTTGAGAGGGCGATGCCTGGGACAAGCGAAAAACGCACACATTGTCAAGCAGCTATTGTAACATGCGCAGAGGGACCGGCGGTGTGTGTGTGTGTGTGTATGGAGTGCCAGGAGGACCCTCGACATAAACCTCGCACAATCCAGAAAAATTATGTGACCCCAACCCTTGGGGCCCTGGTGTGGTCAGTTGACACCGACTACTTAGAAACTAGCAGCTGAATTTCCACCCATCCGTGCTGGACGTCTGGTGGTGGCACTGAAGTGGTCATGTCGTCGCAAGCCACACGAACAATATGTTCGTCCCATTACGAATAGGTTATCTGTCTTACTGTAGAGATCGGACACCAGCAAAGGGTACATGGTTCATCCTTAAGTGAGGCAAACAGGGAGGAAACAATTTCCTTCATCCAAACAGCTATATTCCATTCGGGAGATACATAGATATGGTACGAAAAAGGCACTCACCACCGCAGCTTGCCAACGAGGAAGCTCTCCGACGGTGTGGTGAGTATCGCCCCCTCCAGTGGTTTTAGTCCATGCGATTTTCGAATACCCCTGAAAAAGCCACAAAAAAAACTGTTGTGGTAGTCTATAGTAAGTGCTTCACTCTTTGCTGAAAAGCTTTGCTGAAAATCGGACGGTGTCGTCCACATGAATCACGCTTGCCACAATGTAAACATGGGAAAGCGCCGAGGGTTGCGCTGCCAATGCGCGCCTGCCTTATTGTTGGCAAGGTGAAACTGTTGCAACAGTGACGACATCAACGACAGCGAGGCCCCAACAACCGCCGCTGCCACTGCCATGACATTGGGAACTAGATGTGCACTCGGACCGTTCTTCGGAAAGAAGCAATCAATTAACTCATGTGTTGTTATGTTTTTGTTGACAGGACGAAGTGGGGCGAGAACAAAACAAACCTTACGCGGTAATATCCTCCGCAGCCTTCCCGATAGACGCAAGCTGCTCGCTCAAGGTAGGCCTCATCAAAAACCTCCCTTCTCTAGCATTCCGCGCACCAACTCCAACCGTCTCTCCTCTAGCAACAACGACACCAGTTGACGCGGGGCGGCTGCCCCTGGTTGGCGCGATTGATTTCACGGTGGGGTCAGCCTGGCTACCGACCGGTGATGCCTTTTCGGGTGGCCTTGAAATCCCGTGGGCCGTCACTCGAGCAGTTCGCCTAGGGCTTCGTCCACCGTAGTGGGCTGTGAGGTAGCTCGTATCGTCCCGAAACCCCACCTGTCCAATGTCGAACAAAGGTGGGGAATGCCCCACGCAACGTACGATCCAGCAAGCACACGCTCAGTAAGCCGAAAAGAATTCTTGATGCCGGTTCTTGGTTCGTGCGCGCCCAGCCGTCGGCATCGCGAAAGGAGCCCACCAACGATTGGATTCGAAACACCAGTCTACAGTATGTAGTATAGGGTATCCACTATGGAAAGACGCGGAATTTCGACCTTTGAAGATTGACGCCAACATATAGTAACGGTTGAGGGTGTTGACGCGAAAAAAATCGCACCGCGTGTGCCCGTTGGTACCTAAGAGGAAAAAAACAATAGTGTTGACGCGACCANAAACACAGGTAGCTTTTCGCTTACGCTATGGTATCATTGCTAATCTATCTTAGACTTATTTCTAAAGATAGAGATGGACTTGTTGTGTGATATTAAAAAAAAAATAGTGTAGTGTAGTGTTGACGCGACCAAGGGTTGGTTCGGGCTGCCACCCAGAGGATCGACGTGCTGAAGCGAAGACTCACACTCCCAGGCTTGTCCCAGGCTCCCAGGAGACTAGGTGTATACCCCTCCGCCTCATCCCGCCGACCTTCCTCCCTTTGCCGCGACGACTTCCCAGGCGTCAAACCGTTGTTGCTGAGGCAGCTGCTCGCTGCACTGCTGCTGCTGTGTACCAATGTCACTGAGGCAGCTGAGCACCCAACCCCGTGAGGGGGCTGGCGAGATGCACCTACTGACCGGCCACGTCCGTGTACTCTCCCTTACTCCTTCATCTGTGTTCCGTTCGAGGGCGGGACTCCTATACGACTACTGCCTAAGCCCCCTTTTGCTGCTGAAAGCCCGTGCGCAATCCCGACGGCGCACCTACCGAACGCGCGCGCCGAACACGCGAGTCCGGCCACTGCGCCGCCGTGAGAACTCTCCTAGACGTGTGTGTGTGTGTGTGTGTGTGTGTGTGTGTGNTAGCATCGACCGCGCTAACCGGCTGACCAATTAAAAGACGTCAGTGCCAGCGGGTAAAAATCAAGGTCCCTGGAAGGAGGCCAAAATTCGAAAAATGCGCAATGCGCTTGATGCGAATGCCAATACGAGTCTCTCTACATGTTCTTTCACGAAGACACAAATCTCAGCTACACACATGCCCTCGCCCGAACCTAGGAAGCCACTGATGCAAA